TGTCGCCAGATCGAAGCCTTCATTAATCATGCTAAAAATTGCTGACAAATCACCATAACGGCGGCAAATACAATCCAAGTCAAACACCAAACAGGGCACAGTGGTCTTATAGAATTTTAATTAAAATATTATCATTGCTATTAATTAATAATAATAATTCAAATTTAAGCAAAGTTTGATTTTGAAGGAAGATTTACTTAAAGCTTTAAGAAATTTGTATTAATAATATTTAAAAGTTATTTATTTCATGTAGGGGCTGTTGTATTTTTTATAGAATATTTACCAATAGCTTTCAGGAATTCTACATTTAAAAAGGAATTGACTAGTATTTCTTCTTTATTTTTTTCCTAATTTCTAAAATTATTATTATTAGTTATTATCTTTTTTAACCCACTGTTCTCTGCAAGTACAGTTGGGCCTGTATGTGTCTGTGTGATCTGTGCGCCTGCGCAATCGCCATCGCTGTCGATGTTTGCTTATTACACAAAGCGGAACTCCAGACCAGTCCCAGTTTCAGTCTCAGCCTCAGTCCAAGCATGAGTTCCAGTCCCAAGTGCGGTTCTATGTGGGATGTGGCTGACTGTGGCTCTGGCTGTTTATCGCTTTGCCGTCTAGCTGGCCATTGTTATGCCAGACAATTGCAATTCCAGATTAGCATAACCAGAAAAAAAAACAAACACACGGGATGGAGAAAGGCAAGGAGTGGCGGAGTAGCCAGAGGGAAAAAAGTACAGAAATGCGGTGATCAATTAGAGTTTCGAGGCTTAGGTTGGGTAATAAGGATCCTTGGGTTATTTATTTTATCCGTTAAATAAATAAATATAATAATAAGGCTGCCAAAATAAATAAAAGTGGTTAAGTTTTATTGTTAAACTTCTAGCCTGACGGAAATCCTAGATACTGGCTAGAAAAAGTTTAGAAATATTTAAAACATTTAAGTTTTTGCAGCACATCACTTAACATTTTTACCTTATAAAAGCTTATCTATTTAACTAAGCTTAAAATTATTCTTGAAACCAAAACATAATCATCAACTTTTCTATTCTTAGTTTTATCACAATATAATTCATTTTTAGTGTAGTTTTTTCTAGTAACTATTTAACTATCTAAATTTATGACAACTTCTATATAAACCTTATAAGAGCAGCTAATTAAATTCCCACATTTATTGAAATTATGAGTTATCATTAAAGTGCCAACTAGTTCTGGTTTACTGTAGCTCCATAAACATTCTGTGTGCGGACACTCATCTCTCCACCGAGACAAATAAATTTGGTAAAAATAAAAAAACAAAAGACACTGTGCTAAGCTTGCTAAAAATATGAAGAAATTCATTTTCATTTCGTTTCGCGTTCGCCGGCCGACGTGATGGGCAAGTAAATAGCCCCGCCGGTGACTTTGCGCACATTCCTTTCCCAACTCAGTGACGATTGCCACCGATTCCGCCTCCAATGGACGCGGCCTTCTCCCGCCACAGACGCAGACGCAACAACTGTAGATGAAGACAGAGATGGAGAGACGGGGACATGGCCCCTTGGAGCCAGTTATGGCCATGACAGAAACACGCAAGTGCGTTAGCATTGAACTTGGGCTACTTTGGGCGGGTTGTAATGGCTGTGTGCGTGTTGCAGCCACGGAAAATTTTCACGGTCAACTTTGAGGAAAATGACAAGTGTGAAACACATTTTTTTTGCGACGCCTGTTTCTGGGCCTGAAGTGATGCAAGTGGCGGCTGCTGGCCAACTGGCCAACTGGCCTGCTGTCCGAGTGGGCCAAGAGCCCACTATTCAGCAAACAGCCAGAGCGACAGACAAACATTTTATTTTGACTGGTTTTCTGCTCTTTTTTTTGCGACCTAATGGGGTACGATGTCTTAGGTGGGCAGTGGCCAGCTTTGGCCCGTTGGGGAGTCGTCAGGGGGGCCTGGCCGAAAACCCCAAGCGAAGACAAAGCGAATCAGCTGCTGCACATGCACACTTTGGCAGCTTTTCTGTTGCTATGTATTGCTGTTGCCGTGGCCGTTGGCGTTATTTTTCAGCTTTTCCTAACGATCTTTGAAGGAGGAGGAAAGAAAAAAATATTATTATTGTGTTTTCTGCATTTTAAGATTCGGTTGCACATGGCCGCCTGCTCGGATTTTGGCAGTATAAAAGCTGTTGCAAATTGCAAGCTGCCAGCACAATTCGGCGAGGCGTCAACACAGACCCACAGTTCAGTAGTTCAGCCAATAGCTAGCGCACCAGGATCGCCAGGATTAGCAAAATGTACAAGTTGGTGAGTAGAATAACAGAGAAAATGTTTTAGATAAACGATTTCAAGACTTTTAGTCCTGGAAAAAGGATTTCATATTTTAAATATATACTATTTCCAATTAAGGAATCTAGTATCCTTTAATCTTATATTTTAATTTTAATAAATTCCTTTTTAAAGGTGGTGTTTTTCGCTCTACTCGCCGTGGTGGCCGCCCGTCCGGGTTACCTGGAGGCTGATCCTTGGAGCCACAGCTATGCCGCCCCGGCCATTATCCATGAACCCGCCTTGGCCAAGGTGGGCCACATCATTAAGACCATTCCCAGTGCTGTCTCCCACCAGAGCATCAGCCAGGTGCATAGCTCTGCCCACATTATCCAACCTATTGTGGCTCCGGTGCTAAAAACCTATGCCGCCCCCATCATCAAGACCTATTCGGCTCCGGCTTTGCACACGACCCTGCTGTCGCCGTCGTGGGCTGGACACGGCTGGGCCCCGTCCTGGTAGAGGTCGTCCTGCGGACGATGTCTTTGCGTGGGCTAGCAACTACACAGATTCCAGTTACACTTCCCACCCAACCCGATGCTAATACGTTCTCCTTACCCAGCTGTTTTGTTTTTTTTTCTTACACATTTCGACTGATGTAAATAAATCCATGTTTCATGCTCAGAATAATCCGGTGGTGTTTATTTTATATTTTAAAATTAACTAGCTTTAAAACCTTTTGAAATTACTGTTGAAAAAGTTGTCAAAAAGTTGACTCATTTTAGTCTTTGCAACCATAAATCGTGACAATATGCAATAAATTTTTCAACGAATTTTTGGCACATTTTTAACTATGTTTGCCAAATAAAATATTACGAGTATAACTTAAACTGCTTAATACGACTTTAATTGCTTTTCTGAAAGAGTTTATACATTTAACCACTTTAAACTAGTTTAAAATATTGCTATTTAAATAAAATATTCCTCAATGGTAACATATGTAAGTAATTGTATTAGATAGACTGCTGCTTCTGTGGTAACTTGTGAATATTTGCGGATTTTTACAAAAGTTAAGATATTCTCTGGAAGAATCAATATTTTCTGTTATATATGTAACCATCATTAAAAGTCTAGATCTTAAAACAAATTAGTGTATAATGCAGCAGCTAAGGCACGTCTAATTAAGTTTAAAAATTCGTTAAAGTTTAATAACTGTCAACAATTATGCCACATCCTATGGTTAATAATTGCTGCCAAAAATAAGAGCTTTATTTGCATTTATTGACAAAGCTAAAAAAAAAATTAAAAAGAAATAAAATGGTGATATATCCCTTATGAAATTCTTGTAAATCATTTAAAAATAACACCAAAATGGCTTAAATCGCTGATAATTATATATAAAAATCCCCATGATCCCCAAGTAAAGACAACTGGTAGTGTTTTTTGTTAAGAATCACATTTTACTCGCAACTAAACTTTATTTACAATAGGAATAGCTTTTTTTCTAACCATCCAAATCACTCGTCAGAGCCTCCAAGAGTCCAGTTTTCCGGATTACCAACCGGCATTGTAGACAACGGGAGCAGCGGCGGCATATGTAGAGTGAACCACAGGAGCAGCGGCAGCATAGGTAGAGTGGACAACAGGACTGGCGGCATAGCTGGTGTGAACCACAGGAGCGGCAGCGGCATAGCTGACCACCGGAGTGGACTTAACCACAGGAGCCACGATATCCTCCACGACATGCGCCGAGCTGTGGACTACCGACTGGCTCTGGTGGGAGACTGAGGTGGGAACACTGTTCACCACGGCGCCCACTTTGGCCAAAACCTGCTCCTGGACATAGGTAGTGGCAGGAGCGGAGTAAACCACAGGAGACTCATAGAGATGGCCAGGACGAGCGACAGCTACGGCAAGGAGAGCAGACAACACCACCTGGGGGATAATGAGGAAATTTATAATTTTATCTATAAATATCTTCCCGGAGGGATCGAATTTTCCATTAATTTTCCTTTTTCGTTCACTTACCAATTTGAACATGTTGAAGGATTTTTGTTTCTTGGTCTGTGTTGTGCTGCTGAAGCGAACAAAGTTGACTGATAATAACACAACCAAAATTGGTGTCTTATATATGCTTAAAAAAATGTATTTTTCATTGCGTGGCGTTCACGGCGCCGCTGCAAAAGCCGCAAAGTGTGGTTTAATTAAAACATTTACGAGCCGGTGGCCAGTGCTCAGTCAAAACGAAATGAAATGAGTTGTATAAATCTGCCCTCGCTCGGACAATAAAACATGAGACTTGCAATTGGTCACTCCGAGACTCTAAATCTGAAACCAAAAGCTCACGCACTGCACGCTGACCCTGACTCACGCCCTCAAAGTGCAAGTAATGCAGCTGCAGAGGAGTCCCCCAGCCCCTAATGGCACTCAAGAGGGCCTAATGGCTGTGGATTGCTTCCAAATATACACAGAGAAAATGGTTTATTTATATTAAATAATAGTATAATGGTATTTAGTCCGTAAATAATGGGATATATCTCAAACATATTCCACATAAAAAAAAAATTAACTAAACAAAGCTTTAATTACAAAGAGTAGTGTTTTAGTTTTCGACTCCTATTTCTCATTATAGAGCCAGTTGTCTGTAATTGATATGTTTATTTTCCTGTGTACTCGCAGCTCTTGGCTCGCTTGTCTCCGCTGAGCCGTCCACCGACGCTAATTGCTTATTGATCGCTGGCCAGAATCTGATATGGGTTCAACTTCAACTCGAATTGTGCGTCAAAGTGGGAAGGTCACATCTTGGTTTGGCTGTCGTATAAAAAGATTACTGCTGCCGGGCAATCGACAACAGTTCTCGCAAGAAGCTCAATCCGAACACTCAGTCTCTCCCATCAGTCAATACAGACCAAACTTATTTCCAAAATGTTCAAGTTGGTGGTATTGTCTGCTCTGCTCGCCGTAGCCGCTGCCCGTCCCGGTCACCTGCTGGAGTCCTCCCCGCTGGTCTATGCCGCCCCGGCCACGACCATCGTCCAGGAGCCCGTTCTGGCCAAAGTTGGAGCCGTGGTGAAGAGCGTGCCCACTGCCGTGAGCCACCAGAGCCAGTCGGTGGTGCACAGCTCGGCGCATATCGTGGAGGATGTCGTGGCTCCTGTGGTTAAGTCCACCCCAGTGGTCAGCTATGCCGCTGCCGCTCCTGTGGTCCACACCAGCTATGCTGCCGCTGCTCCCGTTGTCCACTCCACCTATGCCGCCGCCGCTCCCGTTGTCCACTCTACCTATGCCGCTGCTGCTCCCGTCTTGGCCAGCACCTATGCCGCCGTGGCTCCCGTCGCTCATGTGGCTGCCTCCTCGCCGCTGACCTACACCGCCACCGGTGTGTGGTAGAGCGTTTCCAGTACGACTCCCAGTCCTAATCCCACTCCTACAACCCCTGCCAGGTGACCAGGATGCATCGCTGGACGGTTTTGTGATACGAATTTTAAATAAATACATGTTTTGCCTCGAAAACTTTGCAAAGGTGTTTGGATTTTCTTTCAGCTTGACTTTCAGGCCATTACTCTTTATTGGGGATAAAGATTGAGATTACCTAAGGAATTTATATATATTTTTCAATAGGTTTGAACATTAAATTTAAAAAAGTATAATTGAGGATAGTTAATTATGATTGAGGATAGTTAAGTCTAATGGCTTTAAGAATTCTCAGACCAGAAATGAATAGTTTCTTTTAATTAGTCTTATTTTATAAATTCCTCTAGTTTACAATTACATTAAATAGATTCATTAATTTCTCTCTAAATTAGTTTTATTTTCAGGGTATTAACAGCTTCAGTGAGACTCTATTTCTACCTAGTTCTGTGATCAGAATTTAAAATGATTCTCTGTATAAACTGCCAGGTGGTCTTGACTAGCTTTCTATGCAAAAAGTGTCCTGGTTCATTGCCCCCTAGCACGTACTTACTTCCTGTTGCAGCTGCTCCTTGGGAAAACACTGGACATATGCCGAGAACACACGCACACCTCACATGCAAGGGTGCCAAATAGGCATCCTGCTGGGATTCTTGGTTAATGAACTCTGGTTTTCACAGAATAATTTGTTTGGATATAAACAATGTTTGACAATTTATTTAATAAAATAACCTGGTAGAACACAAACTAGACTCTAATCTGAAATATTCTCTGTGCGATAGGTGGCTAGTCCAGGTATATTTACATCGATTCTGTCAGCCAAGTTCGCTATGGGCGCCAGAATGGCTTTCAGGAAATCTCCTGGAAACTGCCACTCCTTCGAGGTTTTGTTTACCTCTCGCTTTTCGATCTCATGACGATTGTGGACAAATCCGCAGCTGCTAAAGAAGCCCAGCCAAAGGCTAAACAATATCTAGGAAAGAACATTTTTTTTATATATTTTAACTATTTATTGCTATTTAATGACTGCTTCTCACCACTTTCCATAGGAAATTCATTTCGTTCTGTCTGCTCTTATTAAGTTTTTCAAATGTACTGATTGCAGCGATAAGAAAAAGGCTGCTTTTATAGAAAAAAAAAAGTTTAGTTATAGGGACTCATGCACTCGTTGCACAGGTGCACTCAAATTCTATCGAATCAAAAGTTAAGTTAGCTCCAGGTTTTTTAGAAAGAAGGTAACTTTATTTATAAGACAGACTTTTGGACAGGTGTTAGGCTGAAATAAAGTGACACCCTATGTACTTAGAGATCAAATTTACAAAGAGCTTAGATTTAAAGAGATTCCATTTACATTTCAACGACTGATTTTCTTACTTGGTAAACTCTGATTATTTTATGTTTAAAGATAATCATTTGGTTTACTTAAGCAATTTCTTGGAAACCAAGTAAGGATTTCTTGCTTTACCGACCTTGGTTTGAGTCGGAAATTGGATTCCATTGACTTCCAATTAGAAGTATAACCCTTGGTTCTCCTGCTTCCCCCGAAAAATAAGATACAAGAAAATAAATGCCAGGTGAGTACGTGCGACTAATGAGTCCGCATTGGCTTCGAGTGAGTTGTGAAATGAAACCAAAAGTGCGAGTGCGAGGCCGAAAATAAGTGAAATAATGAGTAGGAGCGGTGGAGAATTGGCCGCGAATAATAATCTGGTTTATGGCCAAGACTCGGAGACTCGGAGACTTGGAGAGTCGGAGACAGCGGCCAGAATCCGTTCAGGCACGTTCGACTTATGGCTTATTGTATCCGCCTCAATGGCCGAGAGCCTCGTGATGGTGCGTGTGCAGAGTTACCTGTGTGTTACCTGTGTGTGGGAGCTGCGAAAGTGAAGTTCACGTATAAAAGCCGTTGACAGTCCCTCAGCTCAACACATTCGAAGTCTGTCTCCCTTTGCAGCGACACAAGTCGAAGAAGTAACCATTACCAAAATGTTCAAATTGGTAAGGATCTCAGGATTACTAATCTCCACTTGTTTGGATTATTATAACCCTTTCTCCACCCGCAGTTCGTTCTCGCCGCTCTCCTGGCCGTCGCCGCCGCCAAGCCCGGTCACCTGGCCGCCGCTCCTCTGGTCTACAGTGCTCCTGCTGCCACCACTATCGTTCAGGAGCCCGTCCTTGCCAAAGTCGGAGCCGTGGTCAAGAGTGTGCCCACCGCTGTGAGCCACCAGAGCTTGACCCAGGTGCACAGCACTCCCGTCGTCGAGGATGTTGTGGCTCCCGTGGTTAAGACCACTGCCGTCCACTCTGCTCCCGTCGTGGCCGCCGCTCCCATTGTGAAGACCGTCGCACCTGTTGCTTACTCTGCTCCCCTGGCCTACTCCGCCCCCTCGGTGGCTGCCTACTCTGCGTATCCTTCCTACACCGCCCCTCTGACTTACTCCGCCCCCCTGGCCTACTCCTCGCCGGTGGCCTATGCCGCTCCTGCTCCCCTGCTGCACCACGCTCCCCTCACCTACGCCGCCAGCGCCTGGTAAATAACCCATAAACGAGAACGAAAGAATTTGAGCGAAAAAAATACAAAACGAATAAAAGTTAACTAAATGTGAATGCCAAAATAATGTGGTTCTTTGTATAATGGAATAAAGGGAAGGGAGCTACTTAATGGAACAGTTTAAAAAACAATATCTTTTTTAGGACTTGAATTTAAATAAAAGGTAAAAATAAACAAATATAAATAATGAGATCCTAAATTGCTAAATCACCAATTCAAGAACTTTAGATATTCTTTGGAAAATAAACAGAATGTTTTCAATTAAAATTATGTTGAAATATTAATGAGTTTATCAATAATTTTTAATCGACATTTTTAAATGATAATTTTTTAACAAATCGAAGTTTAAACAAATTATAACTAATAAAAAAAAGTATACTGGTGACCGTTTTTATTAGATTAATAAAACTACATATGGATATTAATATCTCTTAAGAATTGAATTTTTTAAAATTTTAATGATGGATGGACCCTTATAAATTGAGATAATTGGTACATTTTTATTCAGCTCGGCTTTTGATGCTGATTAAGAATATATATGACGAAATACTTTTGACGAAAACAAAAAAATAATCTTTAATTTGTAGTTCAGAAAGTTCTTTTTTCCTTTATTATTGCTTAAAATATATTTATTTTGTAATAAATGATACATTTATATCTGAATTATTGAGAATATCACGGAATACGTTTTTGGTTTTATTGTGACGTTAGATTCTGACCTTTAATATGAAATTTCATAAGCTTCGACTTCAAATATTGCAAAATAAGTAAAAAGGTTCACAGCATAAAAGCAGCATGAGATTAAGGTTTCCCCACGGATAGCTCTACTTTTTCAGGTAGATGCTAGGATAGCTAGCTCCGCTCCAGACCTCGGGTCCGTACCATCCAGCACTGCTTCCAGCATATCCCAAAGGAGCATAGGAAATGGAGGTGGCTGGAGCATAGGCCGTCTTCAGCAGAGGAGTGTGATCCACAATGGGACGCCAATAAGGACGCTTTTCATGCACCACAGTGGAGCTCTGATGGGAAACGGCGGCAGGCAGGGCCAGATGTTCATATCCAACGACACTGGGGGCATACTCCACGGTCTCATATGTGGGCAAGTAGCTGGGACGAGCCTGGATCAGGACAGCCAACAATCCGCAAACAAGAAATACCTATGAGAAAAGGAGAGATGTTAAAGAAAATTGCTATAAATATTTTTGGAGGCAACTCACAACTTTGAACATCTTCGCTGGGTGAACTCTGCAACTATGTTTGGCAGTTGAAGAAGTCACCGGGGTTTTATACAGGCCCCGAACCAAGGGAATTAGCTTCTTTACGTTAGAATTGGCACAAACAATCGAGCCATCATCTAAAATGTTGTCTGTGTTTTTTTTTTGCCCAGCAGCTGGTGTTTTTTTGCGTTTTTCCTTTAGCGAATTCCCAGGCCCAGATGGCTCATTAGTGACCCATTTGGGCGGAACTGAGCGAGCCAAGTCGAGGCTGTTGTTCAGGCCGAAAGACTGAACGGAGCCCAGTCAAGCCACCCACAAAAATGCTACCTGGCAAAGCTTGGCACCCACACCCGCAGTCAATCCAGTTTCGGCTTGGATTCCTGGTTTATTTCTTCTACTTGACTGGCACGGAAAATGTGGGACAGCCATTAGCATAACTAGCAGCCAAAAAACTGTTTTTTTCCAGCATTTTTCCTGCCTCTTGACCCCGCCTGACTGGGTTTTCCTCAACTATTTTTGGGCGCCACCAACGCAACAAGCATCAAACGCCACATGTTGTCGAGTTTGGTGGCTCCTAACTTTGATTTTAATTAACCATACACGCCAAGAGACTCCCAGCCTATTTGACGCGACCTTGGCTCTAATTTAATTAAGAAGAAAAACACAGAAACAGAAGCATAAGCAAAGAAAAAGCCCACAATGAGCTTGTTCAGAAGCGAGAGATATAACAAGACGCTGACAGGGCCCGAAACGATTTAATCATTGACCAAGTTGCTCTTATTGTTGCTGCAGAATGCCATTGTTACTGGATTTGGTCCACTTTGGCTTCTGGCCAAGCACAACTCCGACTTGAACGTGTAAATCACTTGGGTGTTTAGCAGTAGTTGGCATAAATCTTTGACTGGCACTTACCGCCGAGCTAAAGAAAATATAAAAAAAACAAGAAAGGAAGCTAACTTCGGCTAGCCGAAGTTGAAATACCCTTGCAGTAAGTAAAAAAATAAAAAATAGTTTAAGAGTTTAAGTTTAAGTAAGGATTGCGGTTAGTTTCAGTAAATTTTATTTTTTTCGAAATTCACGTACTAAGCCCCCACACCACGACAAGGTCTCAATCCACGAGGGGGAAATTATAGCTAAATATGAAATATATTGGAAAATTTGTTAATATTTTCAATTTTTTTTTATATATTTACAATACTATATTTACAATAAATTCTACTTATAGCCATAATTTGTTAAATAACTTAAGTATACACTCTTACAAGCTATATTTAAAAAAAATACCATCATGATGGCTATAAGGTGTTTTATATGTAAGGGCAACAGCTTCTGTAACTCGAGAGTCAGAAAATATCCAATCAATTTGGGTTTGGTGTTTTGTCGTTGCAGAATTATTCAATGACAAAAGATTATGTCCATTCAAAAATTCCTCCAAAACATCGCTCGCTGAGGATCTGCAGATATTAAAATCTCCTAATATTACCACTTTATTATTATCCATTCTGCGTACTTTTTCAACTTCAGATTTAATTTCATTTCGAAATCTTGCAATAGGAAATCCGGGACTCCTATACACAATTATAAATGACGTGTCAAGATATTTAAAAACAATCGATTGATAGGTTGCTCTGGGACTTGGCGATTTCTTTGTCTCAAAAAGAAATTGCACATTTGACGAAATACTTTGTTTAGCATATATGAGTATTCCGTTTTTCCCAATACCATTTAACCGATTGTTATCAATTCTTCTGATAATGTCGAAATCCCTTAAGTTGTACTCTTCCTGGGGAAGAGTCCAGGTTTCAACAAAACATAAAAAGTTTGCAGAACAAATAATGTTGTCATTGGCAATGTCTTCGCGATGAGCGCGAAGAGACTCAATGTTGTGATAATACATGGAGATGGCATTATCCCCATTGATCAATAATTCATACTGCGTAGTCAAGGCCTTTTCACCTCTTAAGCTTTCTAGCTCTGCTTGGACATTTGTAGCTCCAAATCTAGTTGGAGGAACAAAGTCTCCTAAAAGGAAAAGACCCGATGCGCTTGTTGCTCTGCTGCAACCTACGTAAAGCGAAGCTCGCTTAATGCCCCTTTTAAGGTGCACTGCGACTTTGCTGTAGGTTGCTCCTTGGCTTTTATGTATAGTTATAGCCTCAGCAGGAACAACAGGGAATTGTTTTCGATCAACCGAAGAATGTCCTGAGCTTCCGCATTGGAATACTCGAGCTGTTTTTTCAATTGGAGTCCAATCTGGATGATCATTTCTCCGAACTTTTGACCTGGCCATGGCACCAACTGTAGGATCTGAAAACTTAATCCAAAGTTTTGTTACTAACCTAACGTTGTTTACCATGCAGTTGTCAATCTGCATTAATTGGCCTGTTGCCCCATTTACCAGTCCATCATTTGTATCTATATTGACGGTAACCATATACTTTGCTGTTGTTTTTAGATGCAGAATATATGGCAGTCCCTGGGTTTCGGACGTTTTCATATTTTGGGCATTTCTGAGAGTTGTTTCTTTATTTCTTACTGACATATTAGCTGATTTCACAGTATCTATGGCAGTTGAAACAAACTCTTCTGTGGCGATTTGAGCGAGCTTTAAGGCGTTGTACTGATTAACCTCGTCATTGGAAGCAAATAAGTGGATTGCGTCATCCGGAACGTCGTTTGGCGTGACAACTCTTTGCCTAAAAAGCACCACATCTGCATCTGTCATGTTAGCTTCTGACATGTTATTCAAAGCCAAAGCAAATGCATGATCGTCCCGTTGCCTCATTATTTCTGTTAGCTCGAAATACCTAAAATTACTCCACAGGTTTGTGCCAGCCAGAATGTTATACGGATTTGAGATATTCTCTAGGAATATCCACCGATCTCCTACTGGGCACAGCTGCTTCAGATCTCCAAACACTATAATAGACTTACCGCCAAAAACTACGTCTTGGCTTCTAAAAATTTGTCGAAGTCTTTGATCTAAATATCCTAGCGTTTTAGATCCGACCATCGAGATTTCATCGATGATAATTAATTGGAGGTCTATTAGCTTGCAATGCATTGTGTTTATGGAGTCATTGCTTAAAGGTCTTAAAGGACCTGATGTTTGATTCACTGGAAGTGAGAAAACGGAATGAAGTGTAAGTCCTCCAATTCCAAAAGCTGCTTTTCCAGTAGGAGCACAAAGTAAGACCTTTGCAGAATCCGTTGCTCCCGGTAGCTTATTAGCTCGCCAAGTTATAGACTGATATATAGTTGAAATCAGTCTGCTTTTGCCAACTCCAGCACCTCCCCCAACATATTCATAAAATGTTTTTTTGGCTGCTATATTATGCATTACGTGGGCATAATACTGACGTTGCTTTGCGTTAAGCGACCTGGACAGCGAGCAAAGGTTATCATCAGAAACTAACGGGGGAAGTCTAATTAGTTGAAGTTCGCCATCTTCTGTGTTATTTACAGCATTGTCATCTTGGAGTATATTAACGTTTTGTCCGACGTTTGGTACCGCCAAGGCCCTAAATTCTTCATCTAGATATTGAGAGGCAGGTTCCTGAGGTAGAAGCCCATTATCTTCTCTTTCAAAATTTTGCAAATCTTGAAGAACTCTCTCTAGTTCCATATCATCAAACACATCATATTGCTCTTTGTTGCGCTTAATGATTTCATGATTATTTCTGAATGTCATTTCATTGTCATTCGAAAGAAGTTCAGTCTCTTCATTTCTCCATGGGAAGAAAAGCATTACGTGCTCTCTGAAATAATCAGAAGGGGAAGAGTTTATGCTAAAGCGAACCCATCTAAGAATTAAGGCATGCTTGCGTCTTTTG